TAGACATAGCGTACGTATCGACAAGTCGCTCGTGGACATCGCTACGTAGTTGCCAATGTGCACCACCCATGGACATGCGCTAGCTTACGGGCCGGAATAGCGATCGTAAAAACTCTTATGGGCCTGGCCACTCTCAGGCTTCTCTCTGGTTTATCAGAAAGAAACCTGAAAAGAGCCGTCTACAGGGTCGTCTACAATGAAGAGTTTTAGGCCGTAACAGTAAGAAATTGACAAATCACAAAGTACAGAAGAATAACCGATTGTGATTGGTCAATTTCTTACTGTTGAGTTTTAAGCCGTAAGGCCTGTTCTACAATGCAGTCGTAAGCTGTAAGTCGTAAGAAATTGACCAATCACAGACAAATTACAAAAGAATAATTGATTGTGAATGGTCAATTTCTTACGACTTACAGCTTACGACTGTATTGTAGAACAGGACTAACAGTAAGAAACTGACAATACAATACGTAAAGTCGTGTCGAGTTGTCGATTGTTTGCCGTGTCGTGTGAGAGGCAAGGTGCCCTCTGCTTTTGTTCTCGGTTGTTTGGCAAACAGCTTCGGAAGGCCGAAAACATTTTGTGCGAGTCATTCGCTGCCGTTATCACCAGTTAACTAAGAAAAATAAAAATAGAAAATAATATTCAAAATTTACAGGTGGAAATAACTTTATTTCAACTGAGTGTTTGATAAGTACCGTCTCACCGCTCGTAGGTAGGTAGGAGTTATTCTAAGACGAAAAGTCCTATACCACTTTGGAAAATTCGCAATAATTAACTAAATATTAATGAATAAAGATCCGCTAATCAGCGTGCATCCAGAGTAAGGACAGCGTAAGTGTGACCGGAACTCTCCAAAATTTTGCCCCTAGTCGTCTATTTTAACTTAAAACTCTTTTCCACGGTCGCCAGTCGGTTTTATCTACACCACCGACAAGATTTTCAGCATTCTATGTCGTGTTTTTTTTTTTTTTTAATATTGTCCTTCAGAGTGTACTCACGTAAAACCCTTTTGTAAATTGATGGGCTCGATTTTGAATTTTTGTATCCTGCGGCAACTGTTTGTCACTATCGCTGATTCGATACTGGTTTGTTACCTTGATTTTATCCTTCGAGATCTTATCTTTGCCCTTCTCGGTTGATTTTGAAAGTACAAAGATTTTATACTTACCTTCTCCTCATTGGTCGCCTTCTTTTACTGTCCGTTCTCAACCAATAAGATAGTACACAAAAACCACTTGGCCGCTGCTCGTGGTGTATCCATAGACTTATATAATAGACGGAACATTCGTATAAGAGGAGCTGTCAGCTCGTTAAAAGAGATAGAAATAGTCGGAGAGTGCTTCTCTTCTTTTCTAGCAGTGAGTTGATTGGTTGCAGCAGCAGGCCGAGGGCGTGGCCGAGAGCAACGAAGATAGACGTCCGAGAGTCAGTTGAGAAAGAGTGATAGCAAGAGATCATACGATATAGCATGCGCAGCATGCATGTAGCACGCGTAGACCTGTGTGAACTTGAAAGAATGCAGGCNCAAAATCAGTTGAATAAAAATTATGCAAGGTTACACAGTGATATTATTATATTTCATCATGGTGCGGTTTTGCTGTATTTGTAAAGCTGAATATGGTGTTCGAAGTGATGTTTCTTTTCATTGGTAAGTAC